CGTCACAATGTCCGGCTTTTAGGGTAAAATGTCCGGTCAAATGAAGCACAAAGTCCGGCTTTTGAATTTTGGACCTGGCAACCCTATCGCGCGACCTGTCATTGGCCTATGGTATGATGGCGATCTACACGCGTTGGTGTGGTTGAGGCTTCACTCATACCATATTCTCGATGGAGAGTCCTCCTCTTTTTTAGCCACGGCGTTAAGAACCAATCCTGTAGGTAACTATTTATTTATTTATTATTATTCAATCATCTTACAAGCTAACAGAATATATTCCAAAGCGCTTATAAGACTAATTGTACATATAGGTAACTATAGTGAATTTGTGGTTTAGGCGACAAAGCAGTGTACGTTTGGTGACGAAAATTTAGTCAAGTAAGGTACCTTCGACGTTAGATCATTTCCAATATCGGTGTACCAACTGCAATGAAAAAAATTGGTTAAATAAATTTGAAGTAAAAGAAAATAGGTATGTTCAATTGTTCATATGACGTAAACCGTTCATTAGAAGTTTACGTTTTACAATCTTACTATGAAAATTGGTATGACTGTATGTAAAACATTCAGGTTCATCCAGTGTCTAAGTAGCTCAGATGGAAGAACAGTCGCCCGGCAAGCGAAAGGTCATGGGTTCGATTCCCGCCTTAGACATTTCGATTTTGTCAAGTTGTTTATTTAAAATTTAGTACCTATGCAAAACATTATTAACCTATGTTTTTTGATGTAGTAAGATTGCCTGTCGTCTGGTACGGGTTATTTCCACACAAGCTAATTGTATTTAACTTATAAACATTCTAATAATAATATTGTTTGGTGACCAACTGTGTAAACATAAACACCATCACTTCATCGTCCATTTACACAAAATGTTTGACCCGGTATTTGAAAATTCGACTCTAAATAACATTACAATAGCACATAAAAAAATGATGTCATTAAACACAGTAGGTACAGACGGAAGCACATCAAACTATACATTTGTTTTGCAAAAGGACCCCTATTACAAGTGAACAAACACCAGTGTTGAGCTTGACATGCCTGTACATCACATCCAACTCGCGACTAGTGAGGTCACAGATTCGATTCCGTATTCAACATGGCGCCACTCGGAGCCGATCGAATATTTATGCGGTGTGCACGTGTGTACATGTCTTTATATCCTCCGTGTACACCTTTAGAGTAGGCTCACAGCGTTGATTTTTAGTTGGCCGATAGTTGTGCCCGATTTTAATTTGTATGAAGAATCGGCCAAATCGAACCGGCGTAGTGTGCGCACTCCCATAGATGCCCCTACTGATCAACTGCCCGACTAAACTATCGGCCGACGAAAAATCAACGGTGTGCGCCTACTCTTATAATAGAGTGATCACTGCATAACGTTAGGCTGATTTCACATTCATTGTCATTTTCTAGGAAATAAACTCATGAACTTGTTGACTCTTGAATTTGAATTATAATAGTCTTTGTTTATGGCTTCATTTGTATTGTACTGTTGTAATGTATTTGATGATAATAAAATTTTAGTTTTAACCTTTATGAAAAGGGAATATTAATAGGAATTTGCTGAACAAGTGTGTGTTTCTCTAGACTGCATCTCACTTTAAAATTTGTATCACAATTGTATTAATGATTTTAAGTCAAATTGAAATTCAAATAAAAATGCTAAAGTAATTTTGCTACAGGATTTTAAGAACTCTTATATTCGATAATAATTTTTATATTAATCTGGGGGCACGGCAGTGCCCCCACCAAGTCTAGCAAAAAAGCGGCACGGCCGTACCATCCTTTTCTCGAAGCAATTCAGGCCATTTTACTTCATCTTCAGGTAACTTCGTTGTGGATAAAAATAGAAGGCTGAATTTTCATTAGCTATGCAGGCATTGTAAAGACACGGTATACTTAAAATTTCATTCAATTTGAACCAGTAGTTTAAGAATTATAACGGGTCAAAGTTACTTAATTTTGTCACTCACTGACTCACTGACTGACTCACCGATCATCAAAATTCTAAGGCACTTCTAGCAGACCTAGAAGCTTCAAATTTGGAATATAAGTAGTGTTTGGTGTATGAATCAAGGAAAAACTAAAATATTTGGGGGCACGGTAGTGCAACCGCCAAGTCGAGTAAAATTTTTCAATTTCGGTCCAGTTTTCTAGATACATAACTGCTGTCTACAAAATACAAAAAGAAATGAGATAGATCCCATCAAAAACAATACTTGTCAAAAAAACCAAGTCTCGCAACTCAGTTGTTCTACGGTAAAAAGTTGTGAGATCCATGTAATACCAAGTCCAGGCCAGGAAATCTTTAACGTTTTACATAAATATATTGACTTGGCCATCGCATGAAAACACGTGTAAATTAAATTATTTAGTGCGATGGCCAAGTCAATATTATTTATGTAACACGTTAAAGATTTCCTGGCCTGGACTTGGTATTACATGGATCTCACAACTTTTTACCGTAGAACAACTGAGTTGGGAGACTTGGTTTTTTTGACAAGTATTGTTTTTGATGGGATTTATATTACACGCACAATCCTGGGAATCAAAAGGATACGTTATTAGTTTAGGTTTCAAAATGTTAAGAATAAAAACTGCGATACCGATTTTTATTATTCTGCAATTCAGTGCTACCTAATGCCATTTTATTTTTTATAAGTCGTAGATTTTGCGAGATGTATAGAGCGTGTGTTAAGTGTTATTTAAAAACGTCAAAAATCTCAGCAATCTTTAAACTTATTTTTATCTAACTTAAACTATTTTGTGCTTAATAAATAAAACTTTAAACGCATTACCGCAGGGTGTACATTGGAGTATCATAGCGAGGGGCCGGTGGACGCATTGCGGACAGACGGACGAGCGCGGAATTTCAAACACCCACAGTTCGGTGCTAGATTGATTTCTTTATATTGTGAGCTGAGAACATTTCTGGGTCTTTGTAGGTTTTTAGTTAGCTAAATGGTAACTTATCGACCATTAAAGAAAGCTTTTTGTAGTTGTACCTACTCGTATTAGGAGTTTTGCATTTAAGAGTCTCAACTTATAAACCGAGGATAGCACCAGAGACAAAACTATTATATTTAAGTTTTTTATTATAGCTTAAACGAAGAAGATACAACTTGTAATAGGTACATGTATAAACAAGATACCTACGGATAACAATTTGTATTTAAGTAAATCATTCCATGTATTAAATGGTCATAATAAAACTAGACCCCATCGGGACTAGTACTCACAACTATCTACTGTAACTTAAAATGTAAGCAACACAAGTAGTCGACCAAAAGTAAATAATATAGTACCTACCGTGTTTTTAAAAAAAAGGCCCCTTTAGACACTTCGATATAAACGAATCTGCGCAGCATCTAGGTGACCCTTAAAGAAATCTTCACAACAGTTCCCCATTGAAATAGCCGGGACTTGCATAATAAAGTTTATTAATTGAGTTGCCGAGTGGCCGACGAACTCCACGATTCGCGCTAAGATTGTTTTTATTGCAGTAATCAAACTAAAGCATTTCCTCCCAAGACTACACACTGGCTTGAACGAAGACAGTTCAAAATTAATGAGAAAGCTTTTAAAATAATAGCGAAAGCAAATTATACTGCTAAATAAATTAAATTAGGCAAGCAATGGTGCGAATCGCGAAAAACTATAAGAATAAACCATGCATGTCGAATTTACCAACTTTGTAAGTAGGCAATAATGCTTAGTTTGAAATTAATAACATTTTATAAATAAATCACTAATTTAAGTTTTTTAGCTCACAGCGTTAGACGCTCGAAAATTAATCTCAAGTCTTACTAGGTATTTACTTAAGTACTACCTGATTAATTATAAAAAAAAGTGTTTTGTTTTTTCTTATCCTTTTAAAAGGACGAAAATACATAATCTGGATACGTCACGTGAATTTAAAACAAATGCCGCTACATTGTAATTGTACAGATGACAGCACATCAAACTAAACACTGTAGCATCTTAATCTAGTTGTAATAAAGACTATTTTGTTAAAATAAAGAGTCTGATTGCTGTCGATTGTAACTGAATGCGTCGGCGCACTAAGGAGTAAGTATCTTTTAAAGGTGAAATCAGTTTCATCACAAAGTTATCCGACTCAAGGGCCATCTTACTGGATTTTCATCCGACTGCGCCAGAAGGAGGGTTATGTTTTTAATTGTAGTGGTTATTATCGAAGTTTTCCGAGCAACTCAATTGTTTGCCGTTTCGTTAGTTTGTTTTTATTGTGTTTTCAACACTTGAGTTCTCAGAATGAAAATAAGGCTAACAGTTCTGCAAATTGACTTAAAAGTATGGCCGGTTTCTTATAGACTCGAAGTGGCTAACTTTAGCTTGTCACTTTGAAAATACTTGCTGCCCAGAGGGACAATTATTGGGCCTAAAAAGAAAATGTTTTTATAATAAGTTACATTTAGGTAAGTATAACACTACCAAAAATAACCGTCTTTAAATACATTTTGAACTCTAGACGTCATTGGTTAATTTGATACATGTGATTCTTAAATATTTTCAATAAAAACCTAACAAATACGTTAATAATCTATATATAAAACTCAAAGGTGACTGACTGACTGACATAGTGATCTATCAGCCCAAGCCACTGGACGGATTGGGCTGAAATTTGGCATGCAGGTAGATGTTATGACGTAGGCATCCGCTAAGAAAGGATTTTACGAAACTCCATCCCTAAGGGGGTAAAACGGGATACACGCATACGAAGCCGCAGGCGGCCGCTAGTACTTTCATAAAGTTAAATGTTAAGAAAATATAATTAAAAACTGGACTTACTTATATAACTATAACTGCAGTCATCCCCATGTTGCTGAGACTCACCTGCAAACAAAAAATAAAGATAAATATCTCATAACAGAAACATGAATGGACCATTCATAAGATTTTATCAAAAACTTTCATAACAATGACACAATTCATTCACAAGCTCGTGATCGTGACATCATCGCAACAGAAAAGGATATTATTATCTTTAGACAGTAAAATCATTACAACGAAATGTATACTACTTAACATGTGCAACAGTTCATTTGACTTGGACAAAATTAACGATCACAACGAAAAAATATGATGTGGTCGTTATAACAATGGTGGTAAGGTCGAGTTTTGGTCAAAAACAATCGTGACTCTACAGCAACTTTAAATTATCCTATTAAACTCTCACTACTCTACCGTGAGAACACGTGTCTGTACTCATCAAGCGAATGTGAGTCCTATTACATGTGTATACAGTTCCATTTGTATCTGTCACATTCGTAACGGCCGTACATGTCAAAATTCCCGCGCACCCATCACGGCCCATCGTCACGCGGCATTAGATTTGAATCTGGAACTCCTTAAAATGCCGTAATGGCGTCATCCGTGGCTGTTTTAAATTAAAAACAAAGGACTGGCTGTAAACGCACCTTCTTGGATTTCATTTAAAAAGAAAAAATTAAGGTTACCAAATTAACAATGAGGTAATAGCCAGCCAGGCTTTTAAGTAACGCTAACGTTCTACTGAAGTTTGAACGAAGGTTTAATTCCTGTGTATTTTTTTACACCATGGCATGTCATCATTTAATTTGACACGCATCTTTTGTAAAAAGGCCAAAAGATACGCATTACAAAAAAAGTATCACCTAACAAAGCTTTTCCAAAATTGGTCATGACTCGGGCGTTAAAAGTGAAATTTTTAGACGGCGTTCGCATAATGACGTAATTCTATACGTTATGAGTCGCGAGGAATTTAATTTTGGCCCTTTATATTTTTGACCACGGGCCCTCGCGCCCCAGACCCCTCCCATTGGGGAGGGGTACCCACACCAAGAGGTAGAGGTACTTCTTTATCGTGGCCATTGCGGGTATTCGCACGTACGCATATTAGATGGAAGGTCCGTCTTAAAACTCGTAAAAAGGTCAACTAGCGTTGGATAGCGTCTGTAATGGTCCTTCGAATTTTTTTGGCGTACACCAAAGTTTTATCTTATTGCTCATCTCAGGTACGGCGGCTTTTATTGTTACCGGAAAGAAGAATAATGGTTCCGATGAAATAAGGAAAAGGGTTCCGTCCGATTTTAGTGTCAGTAAAAATAAATACGTATGTTTTAAGACAGGTGTAGCTGGAAAGATCTGGAGAGTACTAAATCAATTTCAATACGGTACCCTTAGGCCCAGAACAGACGGTGAAACGCAACTGCAATGAAACTGCAACTGCTAGTTACTTTTGAGTTGCAGCTAAGTTTCTGCCATAGCGTCCGTTGAGAGACCACACATGACGCGACCAGTTTGAAACTTTCAGTTTCAGTTTCATTCATCAGAATCATCAGAAAGTTGCAGTTTCGTTGCAGTTGCGTTTCACCGTCTGTTCTGGGCCTTACACAAAAAAGGTTAAAAATAATTTCAAGTGTTAAAAATCAACCCAATCGAGCCAAACACAAAGTGCACATTCAATTAACCACCATAAAAAGGACAAGACAATTGGTATCACTTCGGATCTCCAATAAAAATCCAATAACGTTGTTCCACGCCCGAAGCACTTAATTATGAATCACGGCGCATCAATATGCCCGTATGCGTACGCGCATCCGTTCACTTTGAGTGGATTCCTTTGCTTTATCTTGACAGCATTAAAAAAAAGTTGCAAAGAATTGAGCTTTTAGAAAGATGACAAGCAAATTAAAACTTCCAAAAATCGCTCAACCAAGTTCAGGGAAGACAAATTTAGTAGTTAAGCAAAATCTGTAGATTAAACAGCGTAAAACAAAAAGTATAAATGATAAAATAAGGTCATAAGAGAGCTTATTGTTTGTGCTAAACAAGTGTGGTGTTTCTGTTTTGTTAATTCTACCTATAGTTAGTTTAATAATTGCCAAGAATGATTTCAACAGTATCGAAAATATAATTTTATCGACTACACTTGACAACGCGGTTTATAGAGTTTCATTGACAACCGGCAAAGATAGAAGCAACTATTTCCAAGATTCAAATTGAATTCAGTAGTGATGGGACATGATCGGTAATTTGCGGGCGCATCGAAACAGCGTGAATCGAACCCCGATGAAATATTCTGAAGCTAGCACGCGAGTGAGCGGTCCGTGCGATTTACTATGTTAACTCGATTAGGGCTGGATCGAATATCCCCCATAATCGATTTCGATGGCTTAGGAAGATGTCTAGCTACAAAATTTGGGTTTAGTGTCCTGAAAGCTTAGAGGGAATTGTCTGCAATCACATCAACAAGTAGTTTGTTAATGATTACTTCATTTTTTAAAATATTATATTAACATATTAAGGCTGAGTTGCACCACCTTATTTTAACCGTGACAATTACAATAACCGGTGCTTTTTGTATGGAGTTTGATGGATTTGTGACGTTTGTCAAAGTTAAAGTAAGATGGTGCAACTCAACCTAAGACATCACATTACGTTAGAGCTGTGTTATGCAAATAGCTACCAATACAAAAATGTTAATTAAGCTCTGTAGATAAAATAATACAGCCAATTTAACCAAAAACAATTCCTGATCAATAGCGTACCGTAATAAGGTCAGAAAACTCGGTCAACGGCTTTTTCATACGGCGTATTCGCATGAAAAATTCACTACACTGCCTGACGATCATAAACCATACACCATGAGAACCTTTAGTACTCCTGGGGGAGGGTGGGGGGAAACGGCGACGGGACTTCCGGCCGCGGCTGCACCGTCTCGAGTTTTCCTAATGACGGGAATATTTCCCGCCTGACGTTTAATTAACTATCAAAAAGGAGAGGGGGGGCGTTGGAAAGCCTCCTCTAATGCGTTGCTGCCAATCGCGCTGCTGGCACGAGTCTTGGCGATATGAGCTTGATGAAATTGGCATGAGGGTTTGATGGAATAGGAATCCATAAACTAAGTATGCTGCTATGGGGCTAAATCATTAATACATAGTGTGCAAAGCTTTAATGACTCTATACACCAACAGCCCGGTGGCTTTATTTCAAAAGAATCATGCCGACGACTTGTACTTTCTATGACTTTTGTCAACGCGATTCATGACGGTGGGTCGGCGGTGTGGACTGCTTTAGATAAGCTCTTTAATATTATGGATTGCTTAAAAAGTGGTTGTGTTATAGAGATCAAAATACGCACTATACACAATAAAAGTGAAATGTTTAAAATGAAGCTTCGTTATTACCAAGTAGTTTAAAAACATGACCTTCCTTCTTCTGGCGCAGTCGGGTAAAAAGAGCGCTATTCGAGTTTAAGACACAAAAAGAATTAGCGCCGAGACAAATTCAAAACAAATTACGTTTCTCCCGTTGCAGCCGTCTGCGTTTCCATTGAATTTCACTCAAGGTCAATTAGACGTTGTTCTAATAGAATTTTCTAGGAATGGTGTTTAAGTAAAACACCGCAAGTCAATTTCACGGTGTTTCCTCGCAAAACCGACCGTTTTCTTTTATTATTCCGATCGCTCCGCTCGATGCGCACGATTGGTCCAGCGCCCGAGCTAATGGGTGTCGCTTACTGACTTCAACACGGATTTGTATAAATATACAAAGTTTTACAAGAATATTTTATTATTGTAGTTTAACGACTATGCAAAGTTTACTAAAAAATATTTCGTGATTATTTATTTGCTTGATAATGGCGAAGGAAATAAGATTAGGATTTAAAAAAATATATTACTAGAGCCAATTAGAACGGATAATAATTATTGTTATTTGTGTTATTTATTTGATACTAAAAATGTGTTCTGATCATTAATTTACAATACGAATAATATATAACAATCTTCTAGTAAATAATAGGGCCGTGAGATTTCAGAATTTTCTGTCCCATAGGTCAACTATCTTATTTTATCTCTGTACGACGAGTATGATGAGGGAGGTCACTGGGGGTGGCACGTGCATGGCTTTATTGACTCTTTGAATTGGATTAAATAGTTTGCAAATAACCCTTTCGATATACGATTGTAAAAAAGCGATTAATACAAGTACCTCTTACATCGGTAAATCAATTATTTGATTTAAATCTCACAATTGGTGAGCGATGCCCTTTATGTTTGCATCTTAATATCTTATTACACTCGGAACAAATCTTTGTGGTTGAGGATGCAATTGTTTCCGCTGTGGTTTGGTAATAATTCTATTTTGTCTATAAAATACTGTGAAAGTAAAAGTTTTTATCACAATGTAATTTCAAGTACAGCTTAAAAAATATCCACATTATAAATCCATGATGTATTTAATTATCTAAGAACTTAACCAGATTTATGATTATAAATTCAACAAAAAGCATAAGTGACGCTCAGATTTTTGTTAGCGAAAAAACTAGAGCTGAAATTCCAAAAACGAGCGAAAGCTCGTTTGCATGCTAATCGGAATGAACTATATTCGGCTCTACCGCAAAAAACGTAGACTTACTAAGTTCGTATTTCTGCTTACAAATATTCAAATATTTATAGAAAAATTAACTAAAACAAAATAAAAGATTAATAGGTATATAAAAATACTAAAAGTGTTGCTCTTAGGGCTTTTACATGTCTCTTAATTCTTATTGTTTCATTGTTGTGATTCTTCAATTTGCCTACATAGATTTCGAAAACCTCATATAGGTAGCAGGAAGGCGCTGGATACAGGTTAGCAATCGGTCAATATGGACATCATTGGTGGAGGCCATTGGCAGCAGTGGACGCCTTTGGTTGAAATAATCATGTCATGATCATGATTTATTTGAATCAATGACGCAATGTATCCTATATGTATATGTGACCCTACTCCTCGAATATTATACTGTGCCCAAGCTCAGCTGTTCCACCGCCATTTTGGCTGAATGGACGAGTGGGATCGAGAGCTTG